TTCAAAACATACAATTTAAAGAACAAATAATACACCACCCCCATTTGAATCTCTAAAACCAATTAGGAATGCTTCAACTTCTTTACATGAATAATATAATTCCTTTTTAGATATAAATGAATCTTTAAATAAAACCTAGGTGATAAATCCTTATTTTACAGATTTAGATACAATTGAGCAATAAAGAATGTAAAATAAAGAAAAACATAGAAATTAATTGGGTTTATAACTAAATATAACTAATAAAATGAATTAAGAAATAAGTGAGAATTCTAATTATTTTTAAATAATTAATAATGAATAACATGTATTTAGAGAATAAGATAAATAATCAAAAAGAAATAAAGAAAATTAATAATAAAATTGTTAATATGTTATAGCAAAATATGATTATAAAGCACAAAAAGTATAGATATTAAAATGATTTATGGTAGGATGTAGATTTAAGTTTTAAGAAAGGAGATCAAATAAAATTATTAAAGAAAACAACAAATGGATGGTGGTATGGTGAAGACAAGAATTAAGTAAAAGGATACTTTCCACACAATTTTTTTTAATCAGTAGGATGATTGTAGTTATATAAATTTCATTTTTTATCTTTGCTTTCTACAGCATATCTATTTAACAATAATATAATTTCTTAAGTAGTTTCGATTACAAGATTACTATTCTTTCCTATTTAATCTGAAATGGAAACACAATGAAATTTCTATATTATAAAAATGATATATTACTTTATTTAAAGGCATATTAGAAAATTAAAAAATCTGAATAATTTTATCTAGCCATTAGCGATCAAATGATATTATATTTGCAAAAGAAACTAATCCTTTTTTATCTACTTCATTCATAATAATGATTTTCAATAGTTCTTCAATTTATTGATATTAATGTTTAATTTTAATAGAGTAATTTTCTTAGGTTATTATAAATTCATCTAATTCTAATCTTAATTCTTTTATTAGATTAGAAATAAGGATATTGGCAGCTGCATTTGAATCTTAGATCTTTTCTCTAAATTACATAGTATATATAAGATTTTTTGATGAGAGAATGAAATGTTCTTGATGAGATAATTATTATAATTTAGCTTCAACCATTTCATCCTTATCAATAATTTATTAAAATGTAGTTTAATTATTTTACTTAATAAATAATCCATCTTATGCAATTATATATAAATTATTGATGGAACCAAATGTTAATTCTAGAAGTTCACATTCTTGATCTGATATAAGAATTAATGTATTAGTATCATCTTCAGCTAATTGTTCTAAAGCTTATACTAATTAATCAATTTTTTATATTTTTTATTTGAAACTTTCAGTATAAGCTAATATTATTACTCTTTAATTATCATTTTATTAATTATTATTAAATTTAGAGATAATTTTAGTAGTTTCAATAGAACAAAATTATCTATCTTTTAATCCTACTGTAAGTTCTTTGGCTGAATCATATAATTATTTATCAAGCCAATAATCTTCACAATAGTTTAAATGATCATTTAATCTATGAAGCCAATCATTACTACTAGGTACATTAATATATGATGGTAAATCATTATTAATATAATCTGAAATAATTTAAACAGACATTTCTATATTAAAAGGGTTAATTTTCTTATGATCTACTTTAGATTTACACCATTGACTAAAGATAATTTTTGCTCTTTATTTTTATGATTGTTTAACATAAATATATTCTAAATAAGTTGAGGAAATAATATCTCTTAATGTTGTTTTGATAAACATATCTGCCTTATGATATAATCTGATTCGATCTTATTATGAAGAATCTTATATTAATAGTATTAATTGTTTCTAATATTTATTATTAATAGATTCAGCTAAATTGTTTAGTTCTTCTATTAGTTTTAGAAGTGATGAATTATTTTCATAATCATCTTCATTATTTTTATATAATATTTGTATCAATTAAATTTTATTGAGTCCAAATAAATATAATTATTCTACAATTTTAAATTTAAGATTCAATCCACTTTCAATAGAAATACTATCAACACCTAAAAGTATAATTGAATTTTCATTTATGTAATCTTCTGTTGAAATCAAATTACTTAATTATTTATCATCTAAACCAACATTTCCATAATCAAGTATAATCTTTCTACCTAAAACTTCAATTGTAAATGCAGTCATTCCTGAAACCTATGTTAATTTTTGATATTAAAATGGAATACAATATGTAAAATTATATAAATCTTTTAATTCAACAAATGATATTAAATCACTCATTAATAATGATGATAACATTATCTAACTAAATGAAAATATTCTAAAATGTTTAGGATTTGGAAATGATCTTCTCATTATTGTACAAATACGTGGTCTATATTCATTCTTCTTTATCAAACCATCTTTAATAAAAATAGGAATCATAAATAATTAGTAATCAAAGATAAAAATAGAATGTAAATGAGTGAATTAATTATTAAAAAGTTTACAAAACATAGCATCCTATACAAATCTTCCAAATATTTGATTTATTGTCATATAATCATCTTCTGAATGAAATCTTTAATTTGGTATTAAATTACTAAAGACTGGTTAAATAAATTAAGTAAAACAAGATAATTTAGATTCATCTAATTAAATACCATAACACTTATATTAATCATAACTATATTAATAAATTAAATAAATACATATATTGTTAGATAAGATTGAATTCAATTTCATCTTAAATTGTAATACCCATCCAACCAATCCATATAGCTTTTAAACTTAATCTGTTACTAAATAGATCATACATATTGTAATAATATGGATCATTAGTTAAAGTGAATTTATATTTATTAAGAATGTCTATTATTGTTACTATTTAAATTAAATACCTTTTTTGTTTCTTATTTGAATTTATTAATCAATAGTAGTTATTTTAATTGGTATCTTCAAACTTAAACATATAACAAAAGAATCAGTGAAAATTTATGATGAAGATTAGGATCTCTTTCTTTTGTAATCAAATACTAAATCTGGAGAACCATATTATTCTGAAATCTTACGAAATTTTGATATTGACTTTTCCTTTTGTTTACAATCAAAATGTGTCTATTAAAGTTTTAGTATATAATTACACTAATAATATCTCTCCAATCACTTTCTAATTAACGAATAGAGATCTATGTAATTCCTGTTATTTGTTTAATCAATTCAGGCATACTCTCGTTGTCAGACTATAAGATAAATGTAGTTCAAATACTGAATCTAAATCATTATTAAATGGATCGTAATCTCTAGATCTACTGAGTCTTTAGACATTCACTATAATATATTAATTTATAGATTTTACTTAAGTCTTCTTATACAAATTCATGAGAGATTTCATATTTTTAAAAAGTTCTGACATTCATTTCTTCTTTATTGAAAGTGATAATTAAGAAATTTCGTCTAAAATCACATCTATGTAAACGATTTGGAACCTCTTCCCAAATGAAATTATCACCATCTTATATAAGACACTTAAATTCTAATCTGGCAGCTATGATAATAAAATATTAATCATACTTGGATCTATTTGAATTTTACTTTCATGTGTCCATTCAGGATAAGTAGTATTAGTTGTACTTAACATTAATGAACGATTTGGATCCCAATCTCCTAGTAATTGATGATTACCACATATTCTAACATTTTATAAATATCTCGTCTCTGCTATTACCTTAAAACTTATATATGACATCTTAAAAATAAGTATATTAAATTATAAAAATGAAGAACTTCATTCTATTGGCATTGATCATTACAATTGTTCAATCCCTTGGATTTCCATCCTTTTATCATCGTTCATCAGTATAATTTATATAAAACAAACAATTTAGGATATTCATGTAGAAATTGCATAAGCCATACAAAATTGTGAAGGAGTAGAATTGGAAATGGTTAGAGATTATCCAAAATTATCTATGGTCACATTAAATAAGAATCAAAATAAACCAAATAAAGGCTTTGTAATATTTGGAGAACATGCAAGAGAATTAATCTCTCCAGAAACGGGTTTACATTTTGTGAAAAAACTCTGTAATCAAAATGAAGATATGAAATCAATCAAAGATAATTATGAATTACGAATGATAGTCAATGTTAATCCATTATCTAGAGAAAAAGTAGAATCTGGAGATTTTTGTAAAAGAGAAAATGAAAATGGAGTTGATTTAAATCGTAATTACAAATCTCATTGGTCTAAAGTATTTAAAACTAATTACTCAGGATCATGATCCAGAAATGGTAAGAACTGCTCCTGGTCCATTTGCATTTTCTGAAGCTGAAACCTAAACAGTAAGAGATGAACTTAAAAAATTCTCACCACATGTTTTCTTTTCTATACATTCAGGAACTTTAGCACTTTTTACACCTTATGCTTATAGTAAAGAATAACGTAAAATATAAATTCTTAAGTTTTAGCAACTGAGAATATTTCAAATATGATGTAAATACTTACAGAAGTTAAAGAAAAACATTGTGAAACATGTAAAATGGGATCTTGTGGTCATGAAATTGGATATCTTTCTCCAGGTACTTCAATGGATTATGCTTATGATGATTTGAAAGTAAATTATTTATATTAAATAATTCTTTTAGATTCCTTATTCATTTACATTTGAAATCTATCATGGTGGTTTAGATATTAGAACTAAAAAACATGCCCTTAAATTTTTAGAAGTCTAATCTTCTCATAATAAACATAGAATAACTGATGAAGAAAAATTAGATTAATTATTAAGAGATCATTCATGTTTTGCTACAACTTCTACGTATTTGATATATTTTTTAATTTATTAGAAAAGAAATGCCACCTGATGAATGTTTCAAATATTTTAATCCTGAAGATAAAGATTAATATGATTTCTATGTTGAAAATTGGAGTTAAGCCATTACATTATCATTAAATAGAGTAGCTGAATAAAGGCAAACATAATAATAATCATGATGATACATTTTACAATTTATTTCATGAACTTATCATAAATATTCTATTCATACAAATTGTGTCTTCTCACTATTCCTTTTTAAAGTCAATATTAAATATATAAATATTATATATATTATTCCAGCACATCCAAATAAAAAACAATAATATATAAATTTTGGAAATTGATTATGATTATCTTATTTTGGTTTAGAATAATTATGTGAATATTCCACTCCACTTATATATGGATCATTTACATGTCTAATATAAATAGATAAATTCTCAAATGTTTATAAATTATCTTCTTCCAATTCTTTATAAATAAATCCATTTTTATAACATCCACCTTAATATTATAATTAATTATCTTCAATTGAAACCTTTAGACAAATTTCAACTAAATATTATATTGATTCACCTTTCCAAAACCATGGTATTATGGGTACTCCAAAACTATTATTACATTATGGTAATTTTTAGATCATTTATGATTTGAATTTTTAATTATACTAAATTAGTTAAAGACATATATTCTTTGAATTTGTAAGTTTAGCTATTTAATAATTAATGTATCCAAAATATTCATGAAAACCTGTTTTCTAAAAAAGAGTTGTATAATTTAAAAGCAAATATGGATCTTAGTGAACTTAATTAAATCTAAATTTTTCTTAATTCAATTAACCTTCAATATTGAACTTTTTAAAATCTTATTAATTTAAATCAAGTTCCCAATCTGAAGTTTCCTAATGTGAATTAAGACACAAAATATACTTTTTCAATTATGTATTATTATTCAAATTCTTGTTACTAATATGGAATAATAAAAAATGAGCAAGAAAATAAAAGTAGTAAAAGATCTATAATGCAAATAGTGTAAAAGATAACACAAAATATTCTACTTGGTATGAGTTATTGTATTTTTAAACAATCATATCTAACTAAATAAACTTATAACATAAATTTATATATATATATTATTCATTCCTATAATTCTTTAATATATAAGATTAATAATTTACATATTGTAATTATGTGTTATTAAATCTATTTATTTAAAAGTCTATAATATCATTCATTTATATACTACTTATATTTAATATCCAAATTATATAATTATATTTACAATAATTTAGTATCTATCTATTAATTAATATAAATAAGACATAAGTTAAACCAAATTATGAGAAATTTAAATAATATAAATTTATATTATTATATTTTGATATTCACTTCACATTTTATGCCATCCTTTAAGATCATCTTCATCAGAATCAAACTCTTTCTATAATAATATATTTATATATATAAATATACCTTTTTAGTAGACTCAATACTTATTTTAATATTTTCTTATTTCTTCATTTGTTCATACTCTTATTCCTCTTACTATTCAATCTTTTTATCTCTCCATTCCTTTGGTAATTACCAAAACTAATTATTATTTAATAATTCAATATACTTTCAAAGATTTCTCCTTACCACTAGTTACTAACATGTGTTTATCTTCATACCATTAGAGTTTAGTAATATCTGTATTATGAGCCTTAATTACAACTATTAATATTATATATAATAAATACATATTGGTGCAGCTTTTTTACCACTCCATACAGTGACTGTACCATCTTTATTACCTACCATACATTCTCCTCTAGAAGGTGACCAAACTATTTCTCTCATTTAAAGTTTGCCTTTTAAACTTGCTGTTTATTTAGTAAACTTTTCTCTACCACTCTTACCAACTTCAAAAATACCAATTTCACCTTAATCAAAACCTGCTGTGAATAAATAATTCTTGACTGGATCAAAAAATATTCCTCTAATTGGAGATAGTGTTTAGGATGCAACTGATGCAGCCAAAGATGGACCCATTGTTGCAGATGTAATTTCAAATACATGAACATAGCCTCCTCTATCTGATACAAATATTCTCCTATTTTCTTTATCAGCTGCTAAACCTGTTAAACCATGTTAACTTGGTTAGAGTTCTGCAATTGTAATTTATCTTTAAAAATCAAGTACTTTATATTTCTTATCTTCTGATACAGAATGAATATGTGAATTTATGGAATCATAAAATACACCCATCACTCTACCTTAATGTGCTTTGATATCTGCTTACTAATATTAATTTATGATTTAAGTACTTCATCGTATCTTATAAATTGACTTTCTGAAGGAACCTTTAACAAATTCAATTTTCCTTCATCCAATCCAACAATTAAATTTGACGTCACTGCATCCCAATATAAACAAATTGCTTATGATGGATATGTTTTATTCCACATTCTCTCATACTTGAATTCGTTTTCATCATTTGTCTTCACCCAACATTCCAAACATCCAACTGCCAATAAAGTTGGAGGAGCTTCTTTTTCCCATGGCATTTTCATATTAGTTAAGTAAGCATCAAATCTACTAGCTACATTCATATCTGAGGACAACACAAAAATGACATCTAAAGAAAGGAAATTAATAATTGATTTTTTTTACTCTATGATCTCTCTATATAGAAATCTCTTAATCCATGTATGAATCCTGTAATTTCTCCTAACATCTTAGGTGGATTGACCACTTATTCTTAAGCATGCTTCTCCAACTATAAAAATTGTTTCATAGACTCAGAATTAAACACATCTGGTCTTTTTAATAATTCCTACTCTTATTCATATCTTTTTACCTTAATGTAATAATCTAGTCCCACTCTTCTCTTCTCAATATCTACATGTTCCTTCAACTTAAACAATGTTTTTCCTGGCAATGGAGGTAAAGTTGTAAACACCTATAAAACATTGTATAAATAATCTTACCTTCTTTAAGTTATTATTCAGATCATCAAATTCAGAATACCTCTTTTCTAATGTCCATTACTATCCATCCCTCTTGGACACCAATAAAATGAATAGAATGACAGAAGTATCTATCTTGCTGATTTGATACTCTTTTACCTCAGCCTAACAATAATTGAATTTATATCAACCTTTAGAGCCACTGTAGATTAATCCATTAATTAATATATTATGTATAATAAACATCATCTCTCTACCAAGAACCTTGATGGACCAAATTTAGATACAACTCAAGTTAGACGTAAAAGTTGTGTATGTGATCAATGTGGAGAAACAGCATTAAAAGAAAATTAATTACCTAATCAATTATGTGAAATAGCTTATCACAAAAAAGCAAGATTGGAAGATTTATTTCTAAATAAATTGGATGGAGCAAAGAAATATATAAGAAATGATCATAAAAGAAAGAATTTCAGAATCTATGCAAGAAATCCTTTATTCATTTTACGATCTAAACCTGATCTAGATGAAAGTATGCATTAATAAACATCACCTACAAAAACTAATTCACCAGAATAATAACGTATTAAAACAGAATAACCTTAAATTCTTCATTCTCGTAGTCATAAATATGTTCCAACTTCAAATTTCTTTTTAAAAAATATCAAATAATAAGTCATACGACAAGAAAAAACCATTAACAGATTAATCAAAGATCGTAAAACTATAAAATCTGTATAATTCTCATCAAGTGGTAGTGTTCCAATTAATAAATCTCATCAAAACAATAAAAAAATCTATTTGAAATAATTAAAACCATTACCAAAATAATAACAACTTCAAAGCAAATTTAAATGTCTTATTAGATAATTCTTCAACTCCTCTAAAGCCAAACAATACTGATATTTTTATAATATAATTTTTGTGTTTATAACTTATTATAATCAATGCAAGAAACTGAGCAATCCGAAAAAGATATGATAGGTTCTCTCTTAGACGGTAATACATTTCTTATTTGATTAGAAGATGAGTCAGAATGTTCAGAATTCAGATCTTCTATCACTAAATCCCAACAACATTCTCAATCTGTAAATATTCTTTCTATTAAATCATCTAGCCTATTAAAAGTTTCAAAGATGTCAAAGATATTCCACTCGTTCTTGAAGATGCAGGGTATAATTATTAATATTAAAAAAGTTAATAAGAATTTCCTTCTAATGATCCAAACAACTTTTATTTTACTGTTTAACCAGCTTTCATTCAATAAAGATAACATTCAATGAGTCATGAATTCCATCAATACATTGTCTCTCAACCTCCAATCTATTATCCTTATTAAGATGGATATTTCTCATAAAAACGAACAAAAAGATTATAATCTTCCACAGATTCAGAACAAACAATTGTAATTATAATATTGTTATTATAGGCATAACAATGTTAAGATTAATATGCATCATTAATTATTCAATAGTCATTTATATAAGGAAATGATTTTTAGAGAGATAAAATATTTAAAGCATTGATTGATGATTTACCACTTCTCTCTAAACATAAATTTGGAAATTATGTCATATAAAAAATTATAGAAAATAGCAATCAGAATATAAGAACTCTTATATTTGAATAGCTTCATCCTTATATTATAGAAATGTGTTATGATAAATTTGGATGTCGAGTTATTTAAAAATTATTAGAGTTCATTTAAAATCATCAAAAAATACAATTAATCTAATCAATCAAAAGTCAAGTATTAAATCTCATATTCGATTAATGTGGAAATCATGTTATCCAAAAAATAATAGATTTGGTATCTGATGCAGAGTTTATAATTGATATTGTTACAAATAATGTTGATCATATAGTATCTCATCCCTATGGATGTAGAATTGCTTAAAAATGTTTAGAGATATTTCCCAATCAAAAATTACAATAACTTTATATATCACTTATACCATTGTGTGAGAAATTATAATTTTGTTAATATGGAAATTATATTGTACAACATATGATCACTTAAGGACCACCAAAAGGATTTGAAGTAATTGGTAAATTCGTCAAAGCTAGAATTCTTGAAGTCAGTTAAGACAAATATGCCAGGTATTTATGTAGATTGAATATCATTAAAGCAATGTAGCTTAGAAATATATAACATTGGCATCAGATGATGATATTGCAAATATATGTAAAATACTGATGAATAATTGTGTTCCACCAATGTTGCTAATATTAATCAATAATTAATTTGGAAATTATGTGATGTAACATTTTTATTCGAAATGCAATGAAAAATAAAAAGAATTAATTCAAATCTAAATTAATAAATATGAAGAACATTAATTCACATAATTTGGTATATTATTCAATAACCATATTCTAGGTCGACACTTTTTATAATTTTTGGCTAGGTGTCAATCTTGTTGATTGTTTTATCTATATATGTTAAACATTATAAATTATTATATATTAAAACTCTTTTTAAAAAATCCTAATTATTTTGCTAATTTAGTAATTTCACTATAATTAATATGTAAATTATAAGATAAAACATAATGGATTACATTAGCCAAAATCATTTAATAAATATATTATATTGATATAATTATTATCATATTTATTATGGATTTATTTCTTGAATAAGTTGATTTTCTTAATGATATTGATAATATTAATGATCTTTATTATCTATTAATTATTATATAAATAAAACTAAAATATCAATCTGTTCAAAAATTAATCTCTGAATCATTATTTTTTCTTATGATTCTAAAAACATGATCTAAATTTATATAGATATAAATTTTCCTTATATGATAAGTAATTGGATTAGGATTATTAAATGAATATAATTATGTGATATTGGTTTTAATCAATAACGTATAAATTGAATTAATAATAAAATAATTTAATAGTTAATCATTATTTAATTAAATTAATATAATTTGATTAATATGTGTTAGATACTTGTTTACAATTTTAATCAATAAACTTATATATACTTTATTATTTAATTTTCATAACTAAATCGTAGTATTTAATGACGAATTTTAATTTATGACTTATTATTTATGACAATACAACTCAATTTCTAACACTTGTTAAAAAACGATATATTATTATACATGAATTTTAAATCTACAGTTATTGGTGCAGGACCTGCAGGTATCA